GACACAGAATGAGGCTGTGCACAGCTGCAGGCAGCAATATAAAACGGAAATTACTAATGGATGCAGCTCACCCTCAGGACTTTGGTACTTCGGTTTAGTCTCTTACGCTCTACAGGGCAGCTTGGACCTTACCCTGCTTATCTGTGTCGAATGCTGCCAGCCAAGTTTAATGCGGAACTTTGTCCTTTTTCAGAGGCCAACTTGGAGGCTGACAAAATAGCAAGAGGGGAAGGAGGAGAAGGAAAGGAGGAGGAAGAGAAAGTGGAGGAGGAGGGGAAAGAGGAGGAGGGAAAAATTGAGAGAGCTCATCATTTAAAGCATCCACTGGGGTCCTCCCTGTTGCCAGGCAGCATTCAAGCTGGCACAGCTGTCCACTAAGAGGATACTCCCATTCTCCGGCTCTCCTGCTCCCCTGAAGCCTGAAGAAGAAGGGCAAGGCTCAAGGGCCAGGGACACACAGCAAGTAATAAATAAGCAATAGAAACTCCAGGTAGTGGTGAGTGCTTGTAGAGAATTCACACCGCTCAAGCCAAGGTTAGTCTGCTTTCCCTTGCCCACTGGGTGGAGCTGAGACCTTTGGTCAGTACCCAACAGAAATAAATGAGTCGGGGACAGGGAAGAAATGCAGAATTCAAAGTATTGTCAAGATGGTGGGAACCTTCCCTCTCCTCTCCTCTCCTCTCCTCTCCTCGCCTCGCCTCGCCTCGCCTCGCCTCTCCTCTCCTCTCCTCCTCCTCCTCCTCCTCCTCCTCTTCTTCTTCTTCCTCTCTCTCTCTCTCTCTCTCTCTCTCTCTCCCTCTGTCATTAATGTGGTAGGTTTTGTTTTTTCTGAGGCATGGCTTCACTCTGTAGCCAGGGCAACTCACTCCATAGCCGAGGTAGGCCTTGATCTCATGAGTGATCCTCCTGCCTCAGCCTCCCAAGGTCTGGAATTGTAGCTGCAAACCACCATACCCACCTGACTTTCACCTTTCCTTTCCTCTGCTACCTCCCAGTCAGGACACAGAGGCCATCTGAAACCCAGAGCTGGACACCGGATGCAAAGATATCTCCAAAAGCAGCCTTGGATGCCTTGCCTAGTGAAGGGGAAGAGCCCTGGGAACCAGAGAGCATGTGCAAAGCTGCAATAAAATGCCTGACGAAAGCAACTCAAGAAAGAAAGGGTGTGTTTTAGCTCACAGTTTGAGAAGACAGTCTCGCATGACAGGAAACATGGCTGCCAGGGCATAAAGTAACTGGCCACACCGCCTCGGCAGGCAGGAAGCAGAGTGAAGAACGCTGGCTGGCGTTCAGACCCCATCCGTGGCAGGGTCATCTCATTTAGGGCAGATCTTCCCACCTCAACCAAGGCAGAAACTCCCTCACAGACATACCCAGAGGTGACTTGTCTCCCGAGTAGATTCTGTGGAGGTGGTAATCAATGCCATGAAGAATTCCTGGAAAGAAACTCTGATTGCAAACCCTGACTGACTGGGACGGCAGGGAAATGGGAAGGTTGGGATGTTGTAGGTCCACAGCCTAATTATCTTATCCTGTCTCTTAGCTTTAACCCTCTAAGCAGGTATTTCCTTGCCTGCTTCTATGGTGGACCTAACATCCTGTTATTAATAGATTAAAAACCTCTTGGGATTTATTAACTTAGCAAACCATTAGCTTCTTCCAGCTCGAACGCAAACGCCAAGGCCATCAGCAGACAGCATTGGAGGCCCGAGGAGAGAGTCACCTCTTTGATGCTTCCACTCAAGTATTTTAAAATTACTTTGATTTAAAACTCTTTTTGTTCTGCAGCTATAAGACTTTGTGAACCATGGAACCTGGAGTACCAAGCTCTGTGTTTTCTGGGCTGTGGGCTCAAATTTGGTTCCAGAACAAACTATCTCTTATTCCCTTTGAGATGAGATGAGAACTGTGGTTTTTTTTGTTGTTTTTTTGTTTTGTTTTGTTTTACATCAACAGTATTAACTATCCCCCAAGTCCGTGTACACCTTTCCGGTTCCACCCCTGGGCACTCTCACTGTGGTTCTGGTTCTTGAGATAACAGAGAAAAAAAAAATGGGTTTACCCAGAAGACCAAGATGAAAATGGAAGTCTGGGTCTTCTGGGTTCTAGAAGATGTTAGATCAGAGCAGGGAGAGAGCTTTAAAAAATCATCCCATAAGATAATCCATATGGGGGATTCTGGGAGGAGTGGAGGGAGGGGATGCTGCGATCGGGATGTACTGTATGAGAGAAGAGTAAAAAAAAATAGTCCATATGACCTGAGCTCACCCCAATGTTGACCATAAACAAAACATCAAAAAGCTAGAGCATCCAGGCTGGCCACGGGTTCAAGGCCAGCATACCACTGCAAAACCTTCAAAACTGAACCAACATTGAAACCACGGCCCAAAGGAAGCACAAAGCTCGCTCTCTGATTTAAAAAAAAAAAAAAGACAGATTAGTATTCAAGATAGGATTTAAACGAGACTCAGACCCCACGCCACAAGGCTCCTGAAGGATCCAAAAATCACTTCATCTTTGAAGACCGTAGAAAATATCAACATCTGTAAAAAGAAAAGACAAGAAGAAAACCAAGCGCCGACAAGCCCAAGACAGCGTGGCTCCCAGGACGGAGGCACTAAAGCAGCTGTTATAACCATGCGCCAAGAAGGAACTGCAAATCCACCTGCGGCTGGTGGAAGACAAACCTTCTCCGCAGGGAGCGCAAGCTCCAAACCAGGAACTAGGCTGACTTTTAGAAAAATAAACTGCTCTAAAATGGCAAACCTCCAAGCTCACACACAAATATACACACAACGACAGTGTGGACAATGAAAACACATATAAAAATATTACAGAATCAGCTAAGCAGGGCTCTTAGGGGCTCAGGGCAACTGAAGTAGCAATCATGGAGCCTGCACAGGTCTGTGCTAGGCCCTCTGCATACATGCTGTGGTTGTTTAGCTTGGGGTGTTTGTGGGACTCCTAACAGTGAGAGAGGGGTGTCTCTGACTCTTTTTCCTGCTCTTGGGATCCTTTTCCTCCTATTGGCTTGCCTCATCCAACTTTGGTGTGAGGATTTATGACTAGTCTTACTGCATCTTATTATGCCATGTTTAGATGATAACCCTGGGAGGCCTGCCTTTTTTAAAAGAGAGATGGAGGAGCAGTGGACCTGGGGGAGAGGGCAGGTGGGGGTGGACTGGGAGGAGTGGAGGGAGAGGAGGCTGCCATTGGGGTGTATTGTATGAGAGAAGAATAAATAAATAAAAGTATTTTTCCATTTCAGATAAATATAGAAACCGTATTATTATATGGTCCCTCTCTCTCTTACTTGTCCCGTGTGGTGGTCATTGTTTTAGATACATATAAGATACGGTTTTTGCTTTCAACCATACTTTACTCAGATATTTACCATCTGTTCCTCCATATCTACTAGCACAAGCTCCCTTCTGGTATAATTTCCTTTGCCAGAACTTTCAAGTCTGTGTGTGTGTGTGTCTGTGTACGTATGCACACATACACACACAATATGCATATGTGTACATATAGGTGTGTGCTTATGCTGGCTCTGCCATGCTCTGCCATATTCCTTGAGACAGGAGGATCTCTCAGTGAATCTGGAGTGAGACTGGCATCCAACAAAAGCACCCGCAATGCTCCATGTCTGTATCAGTATTTATGTAGAAGCTGCTCTAGGAAGTACAATGTGTATACTTAACTTCACTGTCTAGCCAGAACTAATAGGTTCAAGGTCAGGGAGACAGCTCAACAGGGAAAGGCACTTGTCCCTCAAGCCTGATGACCCAAGTTCTATCCCTGGAACCTGGGTGTAAGTAACTTCTTACTCGACCCTAATGGCTTCCTACTGCCCCATGTAGATTATGGTCAGATCAAAGGGGACCCATAGCCCCAAAGAGTTGGTATGGTGCTTGTTTGTAACATTGAGAAAAGGTGGTGAGAGGTGAGATGCCAGGAGAAAATGGTGGATCCATCCTGTCAGCAATGTAGGGACCTGAGCGTGCGGACTGTAAGCTCTAGGGCATGGAAAGGATTGGGGACAGGCAGGTTTGAGGTTCACTGGGGAGCCTGTTGGTTGTCCTTGCAAGGCCGTGGCTTTGTGCTTCCTTTACCCAAACCCCCCTGGCTGTGCCCAGGCCAGGCAGAACTGACTGGCTACTCCTCCCATCTTGCCCAGGACAGGCCCTGGAATCTGCTGTTGTTGCTAAGAAACAAGACACAGGCTTCTTGTGAAGGATATCCCATCACCCCAGTCCTCAGGACAACTCTCTTGGGCATCCTCTCCTCTGCCCCGGGGAAGCTTTCCAGCTGGCCTGCTGGAGCCAAGGAAGGAAGGAAGAAGACTCTGGGGCACCAAACCTTTCCTCAGGGTGGTGGAAAAATGAAGGTTAGTGGGTTGGGCTGTAAAGAAGAAAGTGGCCCAGTCTCCAGACCTGGCTTACTTGGGAAAGGAAGAGCTTTGAGAGTAGAGACACAGCAAGGCAGTCAGTGCCTGGCCACAACCCTGGATCCTCGCTCCACTAGGAAGACAGCAAGAGTAGGACCCCAAAGAGGGAGGGATTCAGATGGGGGCAACACCAAGTCCCTGAGGAGGGGGGGGGGGGAAGGCAATCTGAGTGACCACTGTGAACTTGTCTGCACCTCTTTCCTGCCCGGCCTCCTTTCTTGGAAAAGTGTAACATAGCCACGCGGTGGACTATCTGTGCTCCAGAGGTGTCTGTGGGTGGCTACACAGAGTGGATCCTCAATAAATTGTCTTTGTCTTAGCAAAACAGGAAACCCTGCTTGCACTCTGAGCGTAGAGAACAGCAGGGGCATGGCTGTCACTCATCTCCAGGATTCAAAAGTTCTTTAGGAGGGAAAGTCTAGAAAAGTGCCTCGGCAAGGCTGGTCCTGTTCCCTCTCCCGGCAGGCTGGCCACAGAGCACAGAAAGACCTGCTCTTCTGGAACCTTTCTTTTCCCCTCCCAGGCGACGTCCCTCGTCCGATGGGTGTGTCTGACGGGCGGGAGGTGATACTCGAACAGCTGCGGGCGCAGGCGAGTGCTGCGGAGCAAGGGTAAGGGTGCCGGCACTGGTGTCAGCATGGCTTCCCCGGACTCACAGGCCACCACCTACGCTCCGCCCGCCGTGCCCTCGGGGGTCGTTGCCGTGCTCCTCACCATCCCCTTTGCCTTCTTCCTACCGGAGCTGGTGAGTGCCGCCACCAGCGGGGAGGGAGGGGCGGAGCGGGCTGGGAATCAGTCCTGCGCGAAAGCGACTGTCTGACCGCCACCACCGCCTCCCGGAATGGGGGAAAGGCAGCTAGCTACCGGGGCCCACTTTCCTTACTGTCCTCCTGACCCCCAGGCTGCGTTGGTCTTGAGAGAATTTTTCTCCTTCCCAATGGATGACGAACCACCCCCAGGCTACTTTGGTGGGTGCAACCACCTTCCAGACTACCCAGCCCCTTCGGAATATTCTATTAACTGGTTTCTTTCCCCTTAGCTGTTTGTACTTCCCTAAAGTTCAAAGAACCAGTGGACTTTCTAAAGGGCCTTCTGAAAGAAGTTCTCCCAGGATTTTCTCAAATCCCATCAGCTGACCTTGAACTTTGATTTACGTGTGCTAAGCAATAGGAGGAGTTCTTGACAGCATCGCCCATAAAACAATCTCCTGAAACGCCCAGGTCACCAACTCTGGGACACACGCACGCACGCAGGGCAGAACTGGGCATTATTCCCTGCCTGGGCTCAGCGATGCATTCTGTCGAAAACAGGTTCCCTCTGCTCCTGCTGTCATCCCTCTTCCCCGAAGCTTCCTGTGGGTGAATTTTTCTTCCTAGCTCTGAAGTTGACAGTGCTGCCTCTGGGCCTGGAGGAAAACTCAGAGTAAGACGGTTTACATAAAATGGGCGCCCGTGGCCAACCTTTTCCATCCTTCTGGTCTGAGCAGAAGATTGGGACCGACTGAGTGAACTTTAGGCAAATTGGTTAAACAACTGCCATTCTTGTCAATCAAGAAAGGGGAGGCCAGGGTCCCATAGGTGGGCGGCTTTGGCAGAGACTCCACCTAAGAGGTAGGTTTCTTCCAATCCCCCACAAACGTGGGCATCCTGCCAGGCTGGTCACATCCTGAGTTCTGTGTGCCAGGCCCTGGGTGTGGCCCTTACTTTGGAACAGCCACATGGATGACAGGATGGAGGCTGTCTCTGCCACTTTTTATTGAGCATATGCTTTTAGTCACGCAGGTCAATGTCGGAAGGGTGGCTACCTCCCAGGGGCTTGTGTGGCTGGAGAGAGGCTTGGGACTGTGTCCTGTGCAGTCAGAACGCGGCAGCCCCAAGAAGAGGCGGTCTGTCCCAGGTCAGGGAGGGGCCCGAGCCTGTCACTGGGAGTTGCCACTGGCAGACGGCTGGAGGGCTAAGGCAGGAAGGCAGCCAGGTAGAGAGCTGGCACTAGAGGGGCTGACAGATGTCCTCACCTGTCCTCCTCCTGCAGCTGGAGTCCTGGGAGAGTACCATCATGGGACTTCTGAGGGGAAAGAGAGCATTGTCACTGGCTTGATTTTCTTGACTTATTTCAAAATAATTTCAAATTTCTCCTAAAGACACAGTTACAGTACAGGAAGTCTGTCTCACTCAGAATCCCACAGGTCTCCCCAAGCCAGGAAGTTAGCATTAGCACTCTGCTAATGTCATATTTGCTCATTTCCCCACTGATGTCCGTTCTCTGGCCCAGGAGCCAGGTTAAACCTCCTGATGGTGCTGGCTTGTCCTTGTCCTTCAGTCTAGCGCAGCTCCTCCACCTTCATCTTGGTGGTATAGAGAAGACACTGGTCCGTTGTGGACAGGACCCTTCCAAGCCGCCTTGTCCCATGTTTCCTCACTGTAGCTCTAATTTTACTTTTTTTTACTTTTGTACATTTTTAAATTGATATTTATTGAGCTCTACATTTTTCTCTGCTCCCCTCCCTGCCTCTCCCCTTTCCCCTTCTATCTTCCCCCAAGGTCCCCATGCTCCCAATTTACTCAGAAGATCTTGTCTTTTTCTACTTTCTATTTCACGTGTAGATTATATCTATGTAAGTCTCTCTTAGTGTCCACATTGTTGTCTAAGTTCTCTGGGATTGTGGTTGGTAGGCTGGCTTTCTATGCTTTATGTTTAAAAACCACCTATGAGTGAGTACATGTGATAATTGTCTTTCTGTGTCTGGGTTACCTTACTCAAAATAATGTTTTCTAGTTCCATCCATTTTTCTGCAAAATTCAAGCTGTCGTTATTTTTTTCTGCTATGTAGTACTCCATTGTGTAAATGTACCACATTTTCCTTATCCATTCTTCGATCAAGGGGCATTTAGGTTGTTTCCAGGTTCTGGCTATGACAAACAAAGCTGCTATGAATATAGTTGGTAGCTCTAATTTTAATTTAATTATTCTTCATTTAATTAAGTCATTCTCATTCATTGTTGATAACTTGGAAAATACAGAAATGTGTGAAACCTGTATGATGTACATGTTCACAGATAGAGCAAGTGCAGCATCTGTGTGTGTGAATGTGTGGTAGTGTGAATGTGTGTGCGTGCATGGTAGTGTGTGTGTGTGTGTGTGTGTGTGTGTGTGTGTGTGTGTTGAGTGCATCATTCTGTACATGCTACTTGCACCGGCTATGATCAAGGACTCCAGAATAACGTGTACCTGGGTGGAAGATGGGGAGGGAAGGGACGAGGTGCAGGAGAGGATCAAGTTTTGATCCCATGAACAGAAGCTGGGTGGGAAGACGTGTATGTGTGCCGAACCAGTCTGGCTCAGGCCCTTCTTTGACTTGGGTGGTCTGATGTCTTTCTCCTCCGCTGTGCATTGCAGCACCATGGCTCCAAGTACTCCTGACCCTTGCTTAGTATTCTGGTCTGAGACAAAGTCTCTAGAATGGATTGGAAAGCAGGGAGGCCAGGATACCATTGCAGAGCACGGACAACACTACCCAAGAACTAGGGTGCAGTGATTCTGTAGTGGGGTAGCTTGGGGTGACATCACACAATGGCTCCCCCAACCACCAGTCATTGCCTTTGGTGCACTACATGGAGCCAGTGGGCAGATTCATTGTCAGATCAAATTGGACAAGCTGGGGTCTTCCCTGCTGGCAATGAGCCACCCTGGCTGTCGAGGAGGTACAACTTCTGGCTCTTTGTGGCTCTTGAAGATGACAGGTTAGGGTAGCTTAGTCTTCCACGAGCCTACTCTAAAGACCTTTGCCTAAGATGGTCTGTTTCCCAATCTTCAGCACTAAAATTCACACTTTAAACCTTTAATTCTGTGATAATGATGGTTCTATAGAAACCCGCAGTCCCTGCAGCTCCCCAGTGACCCATTCTTTCTTAACTAGAATTGTTTTAAAGCTGGGAAACTGAGGTTGACAAGACAGATCTCCAGTTTACCCGCATAGATTGTCTGAGAACAACCGAGGTTTAGAGCTGTCTCATCATACCAAAAAGCCCCCTTTTGCTACTCTCTAGGGTTCCCCACCCATCCCATGTTCCTCCTCACTATTCCAAGTAGTCTGTTAGAAATAAACACATTCACAAGATAATATTTTAGTTATAATATAAGAAAGTTATTATAAGTAAAAATATCCCCCAGTAGTGGGCAACTCCATGATGCAATAAGCCAATCAAACTAAATTAAAGTCCAAGTTTTAATCTGAGCAAAGCATTCACGGGTGGTCCCAGGGGAAGAGGGGAACCTCAGGGCTGCTCCCAGGAGGGGGCCTTAAATACCTTCCAGGGAGGAGCCGCTTCTTGGTGGGCTTTCTCAGGGATGGGATGTAGAAAGAGAAAGACATGGGGCCAAGGTGGGTATATGGGCACTGGTTCAAGTCTGGCTACTTCCTCTGTGTGTGCATAGGACAACGTGGGGAGGGGGAGTCAGGAGTCAAGAGTCCATGAATTTATTCTCAGCGGGAATTATGGATGAAAAAGCATTCAGTTAGCTGCCATCCTGGAGACCTCAGGCATCTGTTCCTTGAAGGAGCAGAGGAGGCAAGTTTCTAGGAGAAAAAAAAATAGATTATTAACACAGGCCTATGAACAGGGCTAGCCATGGGAAGAGAGATGACTGTCAGAAAGAATGAGAGAGATTTTCTTTGGTTGTACAAAAGAGACTGGGGTGAATGAACAAAACATGAAGGCAGAGATGCCCTTCATTGGGACAACTTGGAAAACCAGGTCCCAGTTGCTAGATAGGTGCCCCCCTCAGCGTGGAGAGGACGTACCAGCTCTGATGTCCCAGGAGCTTGGGGGAAGGCATGTCAAATTGAGGGATGATGTGTTCCTCAGGAATACCTGAGCCACCACGTCTGCTGTTTCTCTGGAGATGGGAAATGCCTCTATCTCCCCTGTGAAAGCATCCACAAGAGTTAGGGGATAACGGAGTTCTTATGAGTGGGCATGTGGGTAAAATCAACCTGCCTTTCACCTGGTTGGTGTCCTCGAAGATGGCACATGGGGCTGGCTTATCAGGAGGGACCCCTGTGGGTTGGACTTAACACTCTTTTCCAGGAACATGCAGGTACCTGTAAAACAGCTGGAGTAGATTTACATCTTGTGTGTCATAGCAAAGGCAATGGCTTTGGGTTTAAAGGTATTAACATTTTCAGAAGGCAACCAGAGGAAATTTACTGAAGTTAAATCAGTAAAATCCACAGAAATTTAAGGACTCCCAAAAGCTGTTTGTAGTCAGTGCTCTATCAAGTTGTATAAATAAATGTAATTGAACAGTATATGACCTTTTGAGACTCACTTGTTCCATGAAATAGAATGTCCTCGATGTCCACCTGAGTTGTCTGTATTCAGCTTGTCCCTTTTCATTGTTGAGTAATATTCCATGACAAGGAATCACCGTAATCTAATCCACCTCTGTTGAATGTTTCTAGTTCTTGGCAGTTTTAAATAGAGCTGCTGTTGGCTTTTGTTGTTTTTTTTCCTTCTTGGGTCTCTGAGGGAGTTGAAGACTGGATAGTTACAGTTTTTTTATTTACCAGATACAAAAAGCAAGTTATGATAGAAAGTAAATTAGGTACAAAAGTTTAGACTCACCAAGATAGGGCAGAAATGGAGCATTTTCTCTGAATTTGTCAAATGAACTAGACATTGTTGGTGTATTTATTGCCTGTATGTATTATATATAGTATTTATTTATTTATTTTATTCTTTTATT